TTACCAATCATGTGAAAGAATATGTTTTGACTAATACATGATGATACAAATTTTCCCGCCTACTAATTGATATATTTGGTAAATTATCATATCGATCCGGCCTGGATAGATATCGCGAATGATATAGATATGCACTCCATCACTGAATATTTGGGCATATATTTCTGTTTTTTTGCGAATTTCGGTTTAAGTTTTGCCATCTAAACCTGAAGGAAATATTTAAACAATATTGAATGGATAGTTTGCACCCAAAACCCTTGAACCGCAATTTTACCACTACCGGTCTATACCTTTAAAAATAATTTCCCATATATATTCTTTCGACCATGGTCTCTGGATAATGTGTTTTGTAACCTTTTTTAATACGAGACAGAAATATCAAATGAAAGTTATGAGTTTATACACAAATTTCCTACAAATTGCTTAGGGATATGTAAAAGGAGGGAAGATTACAAAAAGTATAGATAGAAATGGGTCATACTGCAAAGGCAAAACAAATTTGCTATTTAGTATTTTAACTTGGCAGTGTATTTGATGCAATGGAGGGGAGAGGGTTATTAGGAATTGACCAAACCAATCACAAAACTTTTGTTCGGAATAAAGGCCTGAGCTTTATAACTTGTCGTGAATAGTTTTTAATGAACTGTTGTAAAACATTAAATGTGTTTCTGTAATTTACATCGTCTGTTCAGAGCCAAAAAGACATTAACACTGAATCAACTGATTTAAGTTTCACATCTTTTCTGGCTCTGAGCAGACATTCTGCTCTCTTAGACTTTCCACCACTTCGTCCAAATACCAGCAACATTTCAAATTTCACCAGGACTATTCACTCTACACTCTCTGTCACACAGCCGGAAACAATAACACTTACAACATGACGTCTTTCGCATAAAATCAATACAGTATATCTCACAGAGTTTTCAAAAAATATTGTATTGATAAAAGAGTTTTATTAAAAAGGTTTATATACCTCACTTAAGAAATCCAGCCATCTGATTGGTCGAATTGCATTCATAAACTTCAACTGTTCCTGTAAAATTCTCGGTAACCATGCATAAAACATTTCAATATTTTTATAAAAACAGTTGGTCAGCCTCCATGGTTACCCCATAGGTTTACATGTTAAAAAATGGTTTGAGCGGTGGAGGATGCCGTATGTGTGCGAAGGATTGGTCGGTAATTTCAATACAATTGAATCTCGATCGATCTTACCGACAATTTTATCTTGCATTGTTGACATGAAGACGAAAATAAACTTCCAAAAACAAAAAAACAACATCTGCCGATAGATCTTGATCTAAGTTCGTGCCAATATGCATTGCAAAAGTAAAAGAAGAGTCCGTATATGGAGCTTTTGCGAAGCATTCATCACACGCGAAGCCGGTTTCAATCCATTTTAATGTATATATTGGAGAAAACTGCCAAGCATGTTAACGGCGGGCCATAGCCGAATGGTCTAAGCGTTGGTTTTCGGTACACCTCTTGTTGTACGCAAGGGTTCGAATCCCGTCTTCGACAAAATGATAAATATTTTTCATTTTTCATTTTTTAGTCTATTTTTTTTCGGCATATAAAAGTATTAATGACTGCTTTAATATTCGAGAAATAGTTGTTTTCATACGCTCTCGGGAAGGTTACAATTGGGCTATTCCCCTCGGCAAGCCTCGGGGAATAGCACAATTCTAACCTTCTCTTGAGCGTAATAAAACAACTATTTCTCTCAAAGCAGTCATTAATACTATAATATTCTGAATTCGAACAATTATTATATCTGGCATCTTTGGACACTAAAAAAATAACATTGCATTTATAACTTTGAGCAAAAACAAAAACAAAACAACAGATGATGATAATAATATTCTGGTTTTATATAGCACTTACAGAAGAAATCCACCCTGACTGATATTAATTTGGTTTTAATAGAAGCAGAAAAATGAGAGGATCAGGTCCTGATTTAAAATAAAAGAAAGTAATCAATCAAACACAAATTGGCAATTCTTTGGTGAATCGTCTCTCCTCCCATTCATGTACTACACAAAAAATCAAGACATGTCTATTTTCTCTAAAGAAGTTTTTCATGCACCCAAGGGTGCGATAGCTCAGTTGGAATAGCAGTGGTCTCGTGATCCGGCAACCTGGGTTCGAAACCAAGTCGATGCGTTAGTGCCCTTTGGTAAGGCATTAATTCTCATTACCAGGTCCTTCGGAGAGGATTTAAAGCGGTCGGTCCTCTGGTTACTTACTAACAAGCATCTATGCTTTCTTAGCAGTCAGGTAAAATAACCACCACTAAACCACTACATTATTGCGAATCTGTTTCTATATTCAACCCCTGTATGGACAAGTCTATTCCATCATCAATAATGAAGAAAATTAAAATTGATGACATGTTATGCACAGAGCGAAGGGTAGGGGAGCTCACAAGAAAAGTCACAGAGATGCCACTATGCGTTTGATGACAACTTCCAAAATTCATAAACTTTCTTATTTTTAAATCAGAATTTCACTGACCTGATCCTCTCATTTTTCTTCTTCTATTATAGAAACAAACTTAACATCAGGGAGGACTTCAATTGAATACTAAACATTTTTGATGTCTCTAAGTGGTTTACATACATTACCCTGGTACTGTAGTATGAGTATAGTAATTAAAATATAGAAGAAATTGCTTCTTTAAAACAACTTTATTATAGCTTTTTACATTATTTACTTCTCCGGCACATACTTAAATTATATCAAAACACAGCACCTAAATGCAGACACCACTTTTACTGAGCAAACTATAGCCAACAATTAGGAGCTATCTTATCAGTACTCAGTTTTAAAAATGCTACTTGATGTAAAACAAAACTACAAGAGACTTTTCATCCCTCCACCATATTGAAATCTTGAGTGATTCAATGATGCATACACTAATGGATTATTACATTATGCAGCAAGTATTATAAGCAGCTGTAACTTATAAACTGCTTCAAGGATACTTCTCTTTCAATGAAATTTGATGAAATCAGACGGTTATAACATGCAAACACAGCTACTTTAAAACATAAAAGGTAAAGTCTGTTATCCCCCAAATCGATGTACAGTGTATTACAAAATAGTCAATATATGAAAATCAACATCAGGTTAATGACAGACTTATTACATCATGCAATATACATTATGAAATATTAAGAAAGAAAATAAGGTTCTTGACAGATACACCTAAGCGATCTCCCCATATTCATCAGTTATCAGATGAAAACTCGAGAACATACGTAAAGCCGAAAATTAAAAATATTGTTTAGCCCTACATCCAAATCCACTTTTACAAGTCCAAGACAAGGAGCACAATTACACGTACGTCATTGCACAACCTGAATATAATTATATTTTCTATATCAATTGCACAATTTAAATGGCATGCACTTTCTTCATGGAGGAGGTCTGTGTTCTCCTCCCATCAAATGGGGAAAAAATCTAGAAGAAACAAAGCAAGAAGCAGAAGGAGATAAGACACAAGTGTCCGTTCAATGACTGGACCAATATAATGGCACGACTGATCAATTTTCTTGAAAATCAAATCATGAGTTAAGATCATCATTTGGAAGTCCACAGCTGTTAAATTCATGCATAGAGTTACATGGTTGCATAAATTAATTTGCCACTGTAATGCACTATGGACTTGTTTGACTGTGCATCTACAGTACATGTAAACAAGAATAAAAATCATTACAAGTACAATTGAATATGAACAATAATTTTACACCTTCTATAGAAGACGATGCAAATAATCAAACTACAAGGCTTGCTGCACAAGAAAGGTGGTAAAACTGATACGCATAAATACAAACTATCATCAACATAATGCCCATTAAATATGGTTTAATTTTCGTAATCAAACAATGTAAGGCCTTTGAACCAAGTTTTTATTTAATTGAAATAAAACAGATGAAACAGAAAGAGGATACAATAATGACAAGAGGATGTATGTGTGTGAGAGACAGGGGTGGTGTGGAGAGAGATGGAGATACCAAGGATGAAAGACCACTGAGAGAAAGATGGAAAGAACAATAACACACAATTTAATTGGAAATAGCAATTTCATGGGGAAATGGTTTAATCTGTCAAAAAATCATTAATAAGGCTTAATTACAGATATTCATTTTATCAACGGTTAAAATGAGAACAGAGATCTGAAGAAATAGAGAGAAGGAGAGAGAGATATATATATATAGATTGAATGGAGAGAGCATACAGTTAAACAATACCTTATCTGACTGTACAAGTAATTCACAAGTCTAAATTGAAGAACCAATTCAAATAGATAAAAACATGTGGTTGTAAATCTTAACCAGATAGAACAAGTATCAGTTGAGGTATGAGAGGGGGAGAGAAAGGCAAATAAAGTGGATAGTGAAACAGTAGAGAGAGGGAGAGAGAGAGAAGAGGGGAGAGGTTACCCCACCTGGTCCTATCATATACTGTTTACCTTTTTGTAGTTTGCGTATGAAGATTTAACATAGTCTGAGAAAGTTTAATGAGAGGGTCTGTATCAAGATATTGATACCACTGGATATTAATCCAGGGCTTTTGAAGAAGCTTCAAGTAGGGCAATGATCTTTCGAACTTGTGGCATATCATCTTGCCTGTTTGTTTCAGGATTGAAGGTGACATAACCTAAATGTTTCAACATAGCTGGTGTTACTCAGGCCATAAGTAGTTTTTCGTGTCTTTTTCTGAACAAGTTTGATGCACTGTTTAGTCATTCCAGAGGATGATATGCACTGCTTTTCTATGATCGATGCAACAAGGAAATAGAATTTCGGATCCAACAGCATAAAAATGCTTCATCTCTCTTCACAGTTGAACTTACATGTAAGTGGAAATGCCATTTTTTGTTCAAAGGAAGATTCCTCAAACATGACTGTGCTGACACACTTGATGTGATACGACAGGCTGGAAATTTGAGTATCAATTACAGCAAGATTGAGCAGGTAAGGAGACAGCAAAGGCCATCTGGAATTCTGGACACTAGGTAATGTTGACATTGTTGCGTTATCCACCACAGCGAGGAAAACCACCTGGCCAATGTTTGTCTCGAAGGGAAACCGGCATTTCGTTAGGTCCACTCAGAAGTTCAGAACTCTGGTTCATGTGCCTGACAGTGTTGGAGGTTATAACATTGGTAGCTCTGTCAAATAAAAGAAACAAAAGATAAAAGATATTTTTCATTTAATTTAAATAAAAATTCCAGGAATCATGAAATGATAACTTATAGTGGACGAATAAAAAATTCATCAGGACACTTATTTTCTGTGATGGTTATTATTTCTATATTTCTCATGGCTACCTGTGGATCCTTATTAAGCAATGTCCATATTTGAGTGATGTAATCTGTTGTTTTCCTATGTTCTCTAATTAAGACCTTAAGACTTTGCAAGATTATATCCATATTTTAATAGATTACAGTATGGTTGTTTGTAACTAATTTTTATAGTAATAATTAAAAAAACAGCAGAAGGCAAAATATAGCTTGATACTTTTGAAAAATTATCTTGATCATCACTATGCACCTGTTGGACACAAATTCTACCGATATATATAATATATATAATATATAGAGATAGACCTAGGTGTATCTCAATGAAACCATTGCAGTGCTATTTTTGATGAGCCATGGGTGGGCATTACAAGGCATTATCTTACTAAGAAGCCTGAGAAGACAGGTGAATACAAGTGAATGTACACATTTATCTTTTCTGTCCATGTCACATGCACGTACCCGCTTGTGCAGATTGCTTTACTGTCACAATATTGAAACAAACGAAAATAACCTGACAAGCTACATGTACGCAATATGTATGTGGGGTCCTATTCATGGAACTACATGTGCATGTACGCACATTTATCTCTTTAAAATGCTGTGTAAATTATGGCCTATGTCAACCGCATATATTAAAACAATAACTGTGCCTGAATCATCATCATCTGTGCATAGTAAATCTAATACATTTTTTGTATGCCTATATTCATACATCTGGGTTAGGTATAGGACTTTATGCACAAAAGAAAGCTATGTGGTGATTTCCTACAGAAGTGTACTACAAAAGGCAAGGAATAAAGTAAACATTACCATTTTGCTTATGGGAGCTCTTGTTGAGTCGCAAAAGTGTTTTATCAATATGTAAATGCAGAGATCTTTATGCAAATATGTTTTTAAGTTTTAATCAAAGCTCTTTGGGAACTTTCCAGATCATCATGAATCCAGAGTTGTTGTTTGCTGATTACCAAGGTGCCAAACAGTTTTTAATGCAAATGCCCCATTATTTAAAAAAGAAGTGCAGTCTAGAGGTAGGCCTAGAAAGTCTGTAACATTGAATCATCCTTTATCTACAAACTACACCAAGAAACAAGCCGTTTTCCCCTACTTATTATTCTGACTCGGTTAGTTCTGCCATTGAAATGTTAACTTCGCAGTCTGAAAGTCGATACGCATTACAAATAAACATCAAAGTGTAGGCCTATGGCCATACAATGTTGATGTGTATACGTCGATAGTCCATAAGCTATGTTACCACCCCAGTAACCCACAAATACAAGTACACACAATGCAACATTTAAATGTACTACTCCAAGGTTTCTGAGTAACAAGAGAAATATCTGGGCCCTGTAACACTAACAGTAACATTAAATTGAGTTCGATTGCATATATTCTGATTGGTTAATGGTCAGCAGATTGAACAATTTGTGCATGCAACAATGATCTAGACTGGTCCATTGTCATTTTGCAACTGGCGTTAAACTTATTGTTAACACAAGGCCCAGATCATTACCACTTGCCTTATTTTCGTATTTCTTGTTACCCAACTTGCCCAAACTGCACTGGCACCGCACTGGGCCGGGCCGGGATGCGATTGTCCACGATCACATTTTATTGGAGGTGGATAATCTGCACTTCTACAGTTTTTTATATTCTTATTTTATATCTAGGTTATACAAAATGGTGACTAAAGACTTACCACTGGGATAGTAGCGATGTTACTCAATAAAACACAGAAAAACGCGGTCTTTATGAGGTTTTTTACCTCCCAAGTCGACATGAAAACAGGTCACTGAATGCCCTGCCGGCCAATTCATGGCCAGCGCTAGAGTCGCCCAGCCCAGGCTATCGGGGGTGCACTGCGCGGCGATTTGCGGCGCTGGAGCTCTGGCTGTGTTTTCGATGCTTCCATCCACCGCTTGACAACGCGGTGGTAAGCAATAGCAGCGTAATGTACATGCTGCTATACGGAGACCAGTTTCCCTGGTTAGACCTTGGATCCTGCGTCACTAAAGACGGGGAGACGGCACTGGCGTAGGTCGTACCTATGGATATCGAGCGCAAGGATCCATAGTTCTACCTAGGATATTATGTGGATCAGGTGTATCGCATGACCATAACTGGTCTTTATCTTTTAGCCTTAATATATGTATCTTAACTTTGTTCTAGCTTTCAGTCCTAGTAACTTGACAAAAAATGTAGCAGTTGCGTTTAGACGGGCTTTAAGATGTGAAAAAGAAGCACCGAATATGGGCTTGCAAATAAAGTTTGAAAACATTTGCCAAACATAGTTGATAAAAAGGAAACTATTTATGGAATTAGGCATTGAAGCATATATTGACGAACGAACTGTTTCATTTAGATATGATAGTCTGTATTGATTAGAAACCTGATTTATCACTCGTCAAAAGTGTAAAAAGCAGATGTCGAAAATGTCCTTACTATAAAGAGTAGTTTGATATTAATTCGTTTTTGTCAAAAACTGAACCCTTTTCAACGCGGCTTTTCAATTCACCAGCTCAATAAATTAGAATAACAACATAATTGATAACAGTCTATCGGTATTTGTCAATCTTTCAGTATAATTTTGAAGATCAATTGATTAAGAAAAGTATTCGTTACTGCGAGAGAAGGAGAAGGAGAGAGAGAGAGAGGGGGGGATAGGCAGTATGAGAACGTATGCGAATGAGAGAGACAGATGAGAGAGAGAGAACGAAAGGAAGAACGAGAGGAAGAGAGAAGAGTGGAGGGTGTGTGTGAAAGAGAATAAGAATGAGAGAGACAAAATGTGAAAGGAATGTCATATTTAAGACACACTTCTGCAAAGATTCCCCCATCATGTAAACCCCTATCATTCTGTTATGCCTGTGTATGTTAGCGAACTCTTCGTATTGTAACAACACATCTTTTCCACATGCTAAATACTAAATGGTCATTATTGCAGTCGAACTAGAATGAAATAATTCAAAAAGTCTCGCCAGGAGTTGGCGCTCTGCTATAATGTCGAATAGACTGGTTGACTAATGTAAGCATAGTAACAGTGCGTTAGAGATGGCGCACTTCACCCTTGAACGCTCTGAAAAATTAGCTCACTAGCAGACGATCTTCCATCGCTTGTAACGTAATCGCAGGACTTTGATTTTTGGTTTAATTTGAAATTGGTAATGAATCTATATGCTCTGTAATGGAATAAATATGGATTGTGATATAAGCCCCTTTTACACAGTTATATGGAGTTATATTTTAATTACTGATATTACAAAAGTAGAGTCAATTCATGGACACCGCTACTCATACAATACACCCACGACGTACACCCCTCAAGGATGCTATTTTTAAGGCAAAAGCCTGAATTCAGGCCCTGGCGATGTATTTTCAGACCATAGTTTAGGCTTTTTTGTGTACACAATAGCTTATTCTATGTGATTTCCAGGCCCTCTGATAAATTCTAACTGGCATACCTTATTCCTGAAGTAATGTGAACAACCATTAGCTCCGTTTAGTCTCATTTGACAACGCCCCCTATCGTCAGAGTCAGCAGCACTACATGTTAGCCTATGGAATTTTACCCCCCAAAAATCGTTAAAAATTCATTTTTTGTTTAAACGAAAAGCACATCCTACCCGACGTAAGTTATCACTAGCTCTTTCATTGGAACCCTCATGTCCCATTGACTTTTGAAAGTTCACCCACCGTAATCTGATCAAAATTAGGTTGCAAGCTCGCCATTGCCTATATAACACATGTAAAACAAGTCGAACTTTGGACTCAGTTTGCCAAGCGAATGTAAGGTTTTAGGTCAAGCACACGAAGGATAAGAAGCATGAATTATAATAGATCAGTTCTGATCGGTTCATTATGTCCATTTCATCCAACCCCCACCGTAATTTTTCCATTGAAGATAGGCAAACATTTTGCCGAGGTAAGCAAAAACATGCATATGCAAGATCGCCATGGACTATTCGATTATTTACAGAGGGGTGCAATTGTGCACCACATCAAACTCCCCTACTTTAAGTCAAATATTTCATTGTATTATGTAGTTTGGTAGGTTTATTTTAATAACTGTTTAATTATCGGATATCAATGATAGTTTAATGATATGGAAAATGTTCTTGTATTTTATATTTAGCAAAGCAATCTCACATACAAATTCACTACCAAGTGTCGTCTAATCCGCCGATTGTCGTCTGCTATATACGTCCAGCGAGCGAAAATGAGACAACCGGAGCAATATTACCGTCTAAGCAACAGCGTACGCTGCACAGAGATTCAATCCCAGGTCAAAAACAGTTGAAACAAGTTGGATTTTCAACTGGTATCAACTGAAATCAACTGGTACCATTTGAATCCAGTTAAAGGAATTGGTGTATATGCAACTTTATTCTAATGGTTTCAACTGGTAAAACTCACATGCACCAGTATATCCCAGTTGAAAAGCATTGACTCTACTGGCACATGCTGAAAATAAATCAGGCGATTCCAGTTTAAACAGTTTAACCATACTGGTATTAAATTTTTACACCAGTTGATACCAGTTAAAAACAATAGGCCTTACTGGCTTATCTACCAGTTGATTCTAGTTTAAAACCCATAAGACCAAAGTGAACCATTTGAAAACAGTTGTCTGTAGTTTAATACCAGATGATTAGACCAGTTGATACCAGTTCAAACCAATGGGCTTTACTGGTAAATTTACTAGTTCATTATAGTTGCAGCACAGTGGCGAAAGTGGACCATTCCATACCCGATGATTACCAGTTGAGTTATCAGTTGAAAACCAGTAGATAATCACCAGCTGTAAACGAGTAGATGATTACCAGTTGTTACCAGTTTAAAACCAATAGATGATTACCAGTTGATTTACCAGTTGAAAACCAGTAGATAATAACCAGTTGAAAACCAGTAGATGATTACCAGTTGTTACCAGTTAAAAACCAATAGATGATTACCAGTTGATTTACCAGTTGAAAACCAGTAGATGATTACCAGTTGATTTACCAGTTGAAAACCAGTATGAAATTTAGCCAATACGATCATATCATTTCAGCTCCACTTTCAAAACATCACGGTGACCGTTATAATTTAATTAAAAATAACAATACATGAGCCGGCTAATTATTGTGGGTAATATAAGCAACACGAAAATGCCACCATAAAAAAGCCAACATCGTCATTGGCTGAAATACGACGTAAATGGCGTTATTTGTTTGTTTTTTCAACGGTTTTTTTTTTTATTTTTCAAAATATCTAATATTTGTGGTGGTACACAAGTATTAGAATTCGTTATATTTCAGCCGTCTCTGAACCGATTTTGATCAAACAAAGATGATTTTGTCATTTAAATATTATGATCTTTCAAATTTGACACTAAATTTTTCATTATCTTACACAAAATTATTTTGTGTAGCGCCCTCTGCAACAGAACTCAACTATCCCTTTAACAGACTTACGTATGGGAGCGTTCTCTTTTGCTCAAGACTGAAATATGTGATATAGCCGATTATTATATCATGCATACAAAATGTATTGGCTTTTGATTGGTTGAAAGCTCGTCACGTGACTAGAAATATTTCATCTATTCTAAGGTTGCTCTGAAAAACTACTATATGAGAGGACTATTTGGGAGTTGAAATAAAATTGTGAATTTTTGGTAGCATTTTTTTTTCTTCAAATCTTAATTTAATTAAAACAAAATTGTTTTAAATCTTTTTTGATAATTTTTTTTTTCTTTATTCTAAGTTTTTTTGTAAGGAAATAAAAGCCGATTTTGATGATGATCTTGTCGATAACGAACCGGGTTAACGAAGCCCTAGACCTCCTTTTCTCGTAGTTCTAACTTATAATGCTGGAGCTCAGAATCAAAACGGTGAATACTACAGCAAGAAAACAATGCAGGCTTTGTAATAGTTTCTTTGTAAAAATGAGCTGCTCATGAGGGATATAAAACAGATATACAAAGACTTTCTTGGATCTAGCAAACTATGAGCATTCTATTTATAAGTTGCTATTTATGCTTCTTCATTAGCTCATAGTTTTTGCTAGACCGTCCAAAGGTATTGTATATTTGTGTATAATAACTGACATAGTATTATGATTGAGTATAATAATAGTGAATTTAACCCCACATTCGCTTGTAGTGTTATGGTATAGTACCAGTGCACCATACTATACTGTTATGTATAGATTACTATTTTCTCTTTGATATATATATATATATATGTCTTTGGGGGCGTCCAATCGCCTTGTAAAATACTAGAACCCATATTAGTGGTCTTTCATCAAGTCCAGTGTCATTGAATTTGCTGACCATATCCCTTGTTGACCCTTCCTTTTTCTTCTTCTCTCTCCTTATCTCTCATTTCTCTAGATTTCAAAATAGCTAATTATATATGTGACCTGGGGGAAAGGGGTGTTTTACAAAGACTAAGATCGACTTAGGTTGGACTTAAACTATGACAGTTGATTAATGCTACTGGTTGCTCTCACCATTGGTCTCTCAAAGGACGTCACAAATCTAAAGACTTAACTTTTATGATAGTTCATTGTAAGAAAAGAAAGTTACGTTCAACGATTTGTAAGTCCCTTGAGAGACCAATGCCAGGAATTATGAGAGCAACCAGTGGCATGAACGGTCTGGTTTTGAGCATGTGAATGTGAATTGCTTTGATGACAAGGATGCTTGGACCGATACACAGCAGAATTTTCTTCAAATTGACAAGACAGGCATTTCTTTTCATTGCTGCATTTACAAATATATATAATAACAAAATGTCTACTGTAGAGAACTTCAGAAATCACATTTCGCCAATTTAAAAATTCTATTTT